ACAAAAATAGAAATCAAAATCAAAGCCACCAAAACACCAAATCAAAATCAAAACCACCAAAACGCTTGCAGAAAACCTGCAACAAAAAATAAGGATCTCCTGCCACCAGCCACACCATGGAATATTTATGGTGGTCAATCAGTCTAACTGCATCGGGTATCACTCTGCTAGTAGACGATTGGTCTTGTGTTCGAAAGATTTCTTTGGCGATATGATGTGATGAAAATACCATGGTTGTTACGCTTCCAAGCACGTTTACAGAGCGTTGCGAGGGAGTAGTGGGGTTTGTCACCAAGTTCTAAAAGGTTTCCAATTATCGGAGAAGGGTAGGGTCCTGGTGGAAACTGTGACTTCACTGTGATTCGGGTGGGTTGATTCGAAGCAGATGAAGAAGAAGAGGGAAAGACAGTCCCATCCGGATTGTAAACAGAAAAGATGGAGATGGAGTAGGGTAGCGATTTTGTGGGTAGAAGAAAATAACATGAACATTACAAACATAAACCGTAGAAAAACGGAAGAAAGCAAGCAAGAAAGCACAAACGAAAGAAAATGGAGAAGATGTAAATTGGAGAAGTGGAATAGAACGGTTAGAAGACGTAAAAGATGGAGAGAAGTAGGCGGTGGAACAGGAAGATGGCATAACAGGAGTGGTAGGTGAGGGGGTATGGAAATATATAAGCCACGTATATTGATAGTGTCAGAATGTTTGGCGGTGGTGGAATAAACCGGAGAAATTAAATAAATTAAAAAATTAAAAAAAAAATTAGACCAATAGAAAGAGATCACTGTTCCTAAGGGAACACAAAATTAATATATATATATATATATATATATATATATATATATATATATATATATAAATACCTCTTTTATATAAAACTATTTTTTGTATAAATAAACTCCAACTAGTTTAATAAGATATAAATATAACTTATAAATAATCATACTCTATGATTTATTTCAAAAATTATTATTTCTCCAATAAATATTACTTCAATAAATAAAAAATTCTCAATTACTGATAAAATATTATTTCCCAAAATAATGTTTTCCAGTTAAATCAAAGTGTTGATATTTATTAATAATCAAATTATACTAATAAATAGTCAATTGATGGTAACTTCCTATAAGGTGCAACCTGATAGGATCATATGTTATTAGCAATATCACTCTATAATGACTCTTGGCCATAAAAGATCTTTCAACCCTTAGCTCAATTTGACTTGCTAGATTCATTATTAGTATATAGTTATGGGTCTCTCAAATTCAACCTCATACTTATCATATTTCCCACATAAAAGTGCAAAATGCTCTTCTTCGGTGTTACCCATTTCGTCTAATCTTTGTAGCGGTTCGAAGTATTCGCAGTAGTTTTCTACCGTCCCGTCTTATCGAAGTCGGGTTAATTCCCCTAAGGGATTCAAGCTCATAGGCGGACCGATTTTTTTTTTTTTTTTTGCATTCTTCCAAAAACTCGACCTAGTTCAAATGATTTCTAATCCTTCTCAGATTCCGGTACCACCCGCTTACCTGACCCACTAGGGCGAAAGTCGTTTGGCAGACCCAAGTCTCTGGCAGTTTTTTTGTTCTTCGAAGAAGTCCTCACACTTCTGTAGCCATTCGAGGGGGTCACGCTTGCCCTCATACCCCAGAAACTCCATCTTAGCGAATCTAAGCACCCGATTGTTAGGCACCCAATCGCCACAGTAAACTCCTTTGTCAAATTCATCCCAAATTTTATGCACATGTTCTTTTTCCATATGATGATTGTGCCCCGATCCTTCGGATTTGTTTAAATCCCAATGGTTTTTAAATGGTTGTGGTTCTGCATTGCACCAAGAATCGAATCCCTTTCTTACTCCACGCCCTGATCCTAAGGGGTTTGATCCTAACAACCCCCTACCACGACCTAACACCTAGAAGGAACCAATCATCTTGCTTTCTAGTGCGTTGCCGGTAACAATTCCCTTTCCCTTTCCTCGACCTTGCCCGCTGCTATCCTCAAATTCCTGGTCTATATCTTCTTCTTCGTCCCTTTCTTCAGACCCTTGTTTATTGACATTGTTTTGGGATTGTGATAAACCCTCTTCCAACGCCACATGCTTGGCCTACAAGGCTTCGACTGCCCCCTTCAGTTTAAGCGTTCTCTGAGATTGTTGGACCATGAATGCCTCTAGCTTCTTCATCCATTCTTCTTGTTGAGTAGACATCACGAGCGATTCTGATACCAAATTTGTTATGGTCGGGTACCTTGATATCATGATATGACTAGTGTTGGGGCTTGAAGGTGTTGTGAACTCCCGTGTAACCTACCCATCATTTTTGTAGGAGACTAAACTAATCTATTAAACTAATAATAATACTCTATTGATTATTTCAAAATTCCCACATATCTTATTCCATGAATGACTACCCTTTAAATATGGATAAACAAAAGACTACAATAAGAAAACAAAGACTCTAAGATCGACTCAAATACTAAATGATCCTAATTACCATATTTAAAAAAGGAAGATCCTAATTACCAAATTTAAAAACGGAAACAAGATAATTTCTTTATTATCAACTAACTTGAAGACTTATCAAGTATGATTCGTAACAACTTTCTTTTTCTCTTTTATATATATATATATATATATATATATATATATATATATATATATATATATATATATATATATAAAAGTGGTTAGCTTGAGTGAAGCATATTTCCTAGGTTTGTGGTGTGTTAGTAAACTTGAGATGACGATGAAGTGACACAACTTTTGAAGTGAGAACTTTGTTTCCGTACCTGATAACCATGTATTGTGACAATTTTGAAAGTTTAAGGTTTAAATGAGCATGATATTATGTGTAATGATTAAATTAACACGTGTAATGATTAAATAATACAAAACTAATATTTTTTTGTCAATTTTATCATTAATCCTTTAATGGGTGGACCAAACTTTATCTATTGGAATTGTTGCATATGAATTTCATTTTTGAAAATGTATAAGATTTTTAGATACTTAGATCGCTATTTAAAAATTGATTTGACACTTTCCATAGAAAACAGAAGATTAATATCATAAAAAAAAACCTAATATATTTTGTTTTTTTATTAAACCGTAATTTTATTTGTTTCTTCAAAAATACATTGTATTTTTTTTCGATTGGACCTTTTAAGCATTTTTCTCTAAAAAAAATTATCAGATGTGAGGGTTTTTTTGAAGAAAAAAAAGAGGAAGTTGAGGGTTATTTAAAAAAAAAAATTCGAGGTCGGAGATTTTTAGGAAAGAAAAAAACTAAAAAAAAATTCGTATTTTTCCAAAGAAGAAAATAAAGTTTAGATTTAATTCAAAAAAATAAAACTTATTAACTTGAAAACATATGTTTGTACGGGTTGTAAACCTATTACTAAATATTGTAGTATACTCATTTAGTTTTTTTTTAACGATGGATATATTACGAAAGACCTTGCAAAGAAGCTAGAAAAAGTTATTTAGTAGCTATGACTACGTTAAAGGCAATATAATTTGTAGTAAAATCCTCGGAGGTCATGTTGCATATTCCAATCTGTTACGTAAAAATTGCAACGAAATTACGAAACATGTTAGCTGTGTGTAAAACAAAAGCATTTTGATTTAGTAAGATTTTGGTCGAGAAGATAGAGAAAGAATGTCGAATGTAAGATGTTGTCTTACCTATTGATTTGACAATTACTTGGTTCCTTTAAGAGACAAAAGTATATTCCGTATATTTCCCAAGAGAAATAGCTAATATAAAATATGACTATATATTTAAAATAGCAATGCAATTATATTTATTTGTGTATCTGTAAGTCAGTTTTTATCTTTTTCTCGGCAGTATTATATATTAAATCGAGAATTTGAAAATCTATTCAATCGTAGCATTTATTTCTATCTTTTTCTTACGTATAATCTCAAATAGGAAAATGATTTTATTTGTTTAAAAATTATCATTTTCATATTTTTTTAAATATTTTATATACGATTTAACATTAAATTAAATTTAACGTTAAATTCATGATTTTGTTAAAAAGAAAATATCATTTTGACTACCCATTGCATGTCAAACTGGTTTAAGTGTTAAAACCAAATCATATAGAATTATATAAAAGGTCATTGTGGTATGGGGTAATAGGCACTTTTAGTACATATTCAAAGAAATGGACAAACTCAATCCATGTGTTTTGTCGATATTGTGGATATGGTATTTTTCACACACGGCGTCAAAAATATCCCGTTAAATTTCTGTAAAATAATTATTTTTTATCTTTTTCATATTTTTGTACTTTATTATTACTTCTCTAAACTACATTGACCATTTATGTTACTTACCATCAGAATTCGAGACATTTTTTTTACCCTACTTGAAGATTTGTTGCCAGTGTTGGGTATACGAAAATCAATCTCTTCATGAATTTGAGAAAGAAAATTGACCAGAATTTAGAGAGAGATCGCTCCTCTTTACTTTACTGAAGAACCATAGTAACTCACGTATTTCAACTATGTTTAAAATATCCTTCGTCAGTTATGTCTAGACATTCTATTATCTTGATTTTGACAATTTGGTCTCTCTAGTAGCTGTCATTAGCAACAATTTGGTACATGGATTCTAATCTCATATGGATAAAAACCATGACTGCCAGCTAAAACATCCCTATTTCCTTAGCTACATTAGATCATATTCTCATTTAATAACCAATGCCTAGAATCATCATCCCATCTGTATCGTTTTAGTTTGAAGCAACAGCTTGAGGTAAAAAAATTTGACATTTTATGTATTTTCTCATCGCTTTTGGAACTGGAGGGGTATGACGTTATTGAATCCAAATATATTGGTGGAATGTAAGTTATCATCAAATTCTCATCGATTAGGGCGGCGCTTAACTTCAAAGTCAACAAAAGTGTTTGGCAGAAATGGTTTGTTTGGGTGGTTCAGAGTGCTAAGAATATGCTCGTTTTGAAAGAATTGCTTGGCTTAAGATAACTGGTATGCCCCTCCATGCGTTGGACGAATCAAATATGGAAACTATTGTTGGGATGTTTGGAAAGGTGATGGTCAACACCAGCCCTTTTTGGAATTGTAATTACGTGTCTCATGGAAAGATTTGTATTCTCACGGCTTCAAGGAAAAAATTGAATGAAGAAATTTCAGTGTTGATTGATAACTGCAAGTTCAGGATTTGTGTCTTCGAAGTTAATGATGATTGGGTTCCGTTCAAACATTTTGTCCCTAACTCGATTTCATATTCAGAGGAAGACATCGACGACGAACACGGTATTTCAGACACATGGCAACCAGATGGAATGGATTTTGAAGAAGGGGAGATTAGGCCAGTGACACATGAAGATGAATCGGGAAAATCTGTTGCTATTGGCTCTCCGTCGGCGAACTGACCTCTGGTTGATGCCTCGACGGATGAGAGAGGAGAAAGGCGGGAACATGATTCAAGGACTGTGGAAACCGATGAGACGCCTGACGCCTTGAATGTTGTTGAAGGAGTAATTTCTATGGGGATCCCAAATTCCGCAGATGGGGCTCATGGAGATGGGCCTAATCTTAGAGGCTCCGGATGTGGGCCAAATTCTAGGCCCATGTCAAGCCCGCTAAAAAGCAGTCCAGAATTTGAATTGGGCGATTTAGCAGCAAAAAGAAGGAGAAAAAAAGGGAAAGGTTCCAAAAGCACATCTTCCACTGATCTTAATCGGAGTGCTATGGGATCTCAACAATCTTCCTCCTCCATTTTCGTCTCTCAGACGAATTCTCGAGAATTAGAGAAAACTGTAGGCGTTGGGAAACAAGCTGGCTTTCAATTTGGAGATGATCAGATGAATGTGATGAGGTTGCTGGTATGTTGCTTGGAGAAGGTTGAAAAAAGATACACCCACGAATTTAATGTTTCTAAACATAAGAGGAATGCATGAGTCGCATAAATTAGATTGGTTAAAGTGTTTAAGGAGGGAAAATAACGTTGATGTTTTTGGGTTGCGAGAGTCTAGACTCTCTTCTATTCCTATTGATATCAGATCTTGGTGGGGTGATTCAAACTTTGGTTTTGAATTCGTTGAATCGGTTGGCAAGTCAGGTGGAATTATTAGTGTTTGGAACAAGTCTTATTTTCATGCTACTGATTGCACCAAATCTATATATTTCTTGGCTGTTATGGGAAGCTGGGTTGGAATTAGAAGAGAAACTATTTTTGTAAATGTTTATGCCGCTCAAGTGCAAAAAGAAAAAAAGGTGTTGTGGAATAAGCGGACAAACTTGATGGCCGCCAGACCGGGGAATTGGGTTATTTTTAGAGATTTCAATGTAGATAGACGACCTGATGAAAGAATCAACTGCACTCTCTATCCCAGAACAGTTGTGGCCTTTAACAAATTCATAAGGGATGTTGGTCTGTTGGATTTGAACATGGGAGGCTGGAAATTCACTTCTTTTTGTGATGTTGGCTGCAAACTAAGTAAGATGGATCGTGTTTTGGTTTGTCCTAATTTCCTATCTAATTTTTCGTCTGCTTCAGTTGTTGCCCTGCCCAGAGAGCATTCAGACCATTCTCCGATTATGCTTCGTTCGAACCAAATAGATTTTGGCCCTCCTCCGTTCATATTTTTCAATTCTTGGATGCTTAGAAAGGACTTTGACAATATAATCAGGTTGGCTTGGAGTAACTATACAGGTTGGGGTACTCCAGATCGTTATCTTTCTAACAAACTCAAGTGTGTTAAAGATGCTATAAAAGATTGGCGTAGAAAGGAGTTTGAAAAAGAAAATAAGGATTTATGTGATTTATGAAATAAAGTGAACAATATAGAATTAGAAGCCGAAGCTAGGCCCCTCACGGATGTTGAAATCAGGGAGAGAAGAAAGAATAAGCAACGCATCCTTAACTTGGAGAATCTTGCAAAGCTTGATTTAATTCAAAAGGTAAAAGTCGAATGGTTATGTGAGGGGGACGAAAACTCTAAATATTTTCATAGCTCCCGAAAAATTAAAAACAGAAAACTACTATTTAAGGCTAAATGGTGAATGGGAGTTGGAACACAAATGTCAACGAGATCAAGAAAGAGGCTTGGAGATATTTTAGTAATAAATTTCATAAGGACTTTCGAAATCGTCGCCTGCTTCTCAATTCTAGTTTCACAAAGCTCTCTGTGGTCGACATCATTTTCCTTGAGGCTCCTTTTGATGTCATAGAAATAAAAGAGGCAGTTTGGGGATGCGGGAACGATAAAGCCCTTGGCCCGGACGGTTTTATGTTCAAATTCATTAAACATTACTAGGAGATCATGCAAGAAGACGTTATGAGATTTGTCAAGCATTTTGAAGAATTTAGTTATCTCTCTCGGGGGAGAAATTCATATTTCATCACACAGATTCCAAAGGTTAAAGATCCTCTTACTCTTAATGAATTTGGGACTATTAGCCTTTTCGGATGTGTTTATAAAATCATTGCTAAAGTCCTCGCTTCGAGACTAAAAAGAGTTATTGGATTGATCATTGGTGAGGTTCAAAACTACGTTCATCAAGGGGCGTAATATTCTTGATGGTCCTATGATTGTCAACGAGGTGTGTTCTTGGGCCAAAAAAAACTAAAAATAAATCTTTTATTTTCAAGGTCGACTTCGGTAAGGCTTTTGATTCAATAAATTGGAATTATCTTTTTCCGTCATGAAGCAAATGGGCTTCAGGGAAATGGATCAAATGGATAAGAGGTTGTCTTCTCTTTTCTCGGGCCTCTATTCTTCTCAGTAATTCCACTACGAAAGAATTTCCTATCTCAAAAGGGGTTCGTCAAAGAGACCCTCTTTCGCCATTCTTTTTTATAATTGCCATGGAGGGTTTAAATGGCGTCATGAAGACATCTTCTGACAAATTTCTATTTAACGGAATTTTTATTTCTAACAACGGACCTTCCATCTCAAACTTATTTTATGCCGATGACGTTATGTTTATCGGCGAATGGTCAAGTACCAATTTTGCACATTTGGCGAGAATATTGAGGTGTTTTCATGCCTCTTCGGGCCTTAAAGTTAATTTCCATAAATCTAAGGTTTTTGGTATTGGTGTATCAGACAACGAAATTGCTAGTTGTGCTAGAATCCTTGGATGTGAAGCAATGTCCTTCCCTTTCAAATACCTTGGAGTTCCTGTGGGAGCACACATGAAACTTAAGATGAACTGGGAACCTGTTATCGACCGTATCCAAAACAAGATTTCGCAATGGAAATCTAAAACTCTTTCCTGTGGGGTCGGCGCACTCTTATCAAGTCGGTTCTTGGTAGCCTCCCCTTATTTTATTTTTCACTTTTTAAGGCTCCGGTGGCAATCATTGATTATATTGAAAAATTACAAAGACGTTTTCTGTGGGGAGGAAGTGAAGAGAAGAACAAAATCAATTGGGTTGCTTGGAAAATTGTGCTTGGACAGAAATCAAAAGGAGGGCTTGGAGTGGGATCTTTGACGTCATTAAATTAGGCATTGTTATTTAAATGGTTATGGCATTTAAAAATAAAATTGGAACTCTTTGGAAACGTGTGATATGCAACATTCATAATTATGGTAGGAAGACAATGCAATTTTGGGCTCTCCCTGGAACGTGGAGTAATATTGTAAATATTATTGCATTGGTTGGTGATATTGGTATTACTATGTAAGATTTGTTTAAATTTCAGTTTGGTGATGATTGGATGGAAAGTGGAGACCTAGTAAGCAAATTCCATGCTCTTTATGATCTGGACAAGAAGAAATCTTGCTTCATTGCTGAGAGATGGACCGAATATTCCCTTTTGTGGGCCTAGAAAAGGAGGTCCAATAGTCCCCGAGAGCTGCTGGAGTTGGAAGACGTTGTTAAGTGGATCGGACAATTTCGCAGAGTCATTGGACCGGACATTTGGTGTAACACCTAGAATTTTGAGGAATAATTCTTGGTAATAAATCCCCTTTTGAGGGTTGGACACGACATGTTGGAGGAACCCACACGGCATGTATGGATTTGAAGAACGCAACTTCCATTAAAACCAACACGGGGTGTTTTTCTGCCATTACACGGCGTGTTGGTGGCTGGTGGAGAAAACCCTAATTTTTAGGGTGTTGCACCCTATATAAAGGCCTTAAGTCCTCATGGTTGGCCTCCTTACCAGCCCCATTGCCACTAAAACCCTAAAATCGATCTTTAAAACTCTTGGTGGTGTTAGCTAGTAAGAAGTTCTTGGTGCTCATTTTTGGTTTTTGTGAAGGAAGAGGAGATCTTGAAGTTGTCTTGCTTGGTGGAAAGGTTTTCGATCCAGAATCATCTTCTTTTGTGCAAGCTTTCTAAGGTATCAATTTTGAACCTTGACTTATAGATGTTTAGATATCTTCATATTGAGCTTTGTTGTGTTTTTGGTCCTTTTTTGTGTTGATGAGAGAGTGAAGTCGTTTAAAGGCTTGTTATTCAAAATCTGAGTTTTGTATCGACTCCTTGAGTGTGCAAGATTTATGAGATAATTCGTTATATGCATGCGTTAAGTCACTTATTAAGTCCTTTTTAATCTTAAGAGCTTCATTTAGACATGCATGAACGTAAAGTTGGCAACTTTACGTGGTTTTCCAGCTCAAGGAAGTCAGATCTATGTTTTAGGGCTATATCTTTATGGATTAAGTGCTTATTGGTTAAGCCCTTGCATTATTAAGCCTTATGGATTGAGTTTTAAGCCTTTTGGGTAGTTCTAATGGATAAAGTTGGAAACTTTAGCCTTCTGGACCACATTATAGGCTAGATCTGAGCCTTGGAGCTCTTGGTATCATATATAACAACTTAATGTATTACGTTGTGGAAATTCGGGCAAGCATGGCGTGTTGGCTGGGGTTTTCACGATTATTTATATGATGGCGAAACACGATGTGTTTGCAAGTCAACACAGCGTGTTTGGTCAACATGGACGGTTAACTTTGATTTTGACCAGAAGTTTGATCAGTGTTGATCTTGGAATGTTTTGGTCCAAGTTATAAAGAGGGTAAAAAGGCATTTTACCCTAGTTTGGACACTTAGAGTGGGTCGGATCCGATTATTGATGGATGTTTAACTTGTGATTGATAGTGCGAGGATTCTTGCGAGCCAGCAGCCAGAGGTTCTTTCTGTGAGATCCAGCAGTGCGAGGTGAGCTTCCTCACTATGTTTAGCAGGTCGAAGGCACCTATGCCAGCCCATGGTTTTCTATGTAGGGTTCTAGATGTCTGCACGGCTCTTGCATGTGTATGTGCTTGTATGCTTACTAGGTAGGGCCCGATGGTTATTCTGCATCTGGTTATGCATATATGATTTGTATGTGGGCGGGGCCCGATGATTGTACAGTATGCGATTATCTTTGTGATTTCCGCATGTGTTTGAATGTTTACATGATTATATGGTTAT